GAATCGACCGATTGGGCGGCGAAGGGTTACCGGAACTCGAGGTGAAGATGCTTGCGCGGTCTATTCTCAGAGGGTTGAGCCACGTCCACGAGTCTGGATACGTTCATTGTGATCTAAAGCCCGATAACATTCTACTAGTGCCAAAATCCGGAGGATTCATGGCGAAAATCGGGGACTTTGGCCTGGCAAAGAGGTGGAAACAACACTCAAGGAAGAGGAAACGAGCGGGGCCCGAGCCCATGTATTTGTCCCCCGAGGCCGTGGCAGACTCCGATCAAGAGGCGCCGTCTGACATTTGGGCAGTTGGGTGCATTGTGCTTGAGATGCTGACAGGGAGGCCGCCATGGGATGGAAAGAAAGAGGAAATTCTGGAAAGATTAGGGGCAGGACAGGAAATTCCTGAAATTCCTAAGGGGTTATCAAAGGAGGCTAGTGATTTTCTCAAGCGTTGTCTGGTGAGGAAGCCAATGTTCAGGTTCACTTGTGGAATGCTGTTGAATCACACGTTTTTCGAGGGTTTAGGTGACGATTTTGATGATGATGAGGTTGAGGAATTAGAGGAATCCGAGGAGGTTGCATTTTGTTCGTCATCGTCGTCAGCTGGGGGAGAATCAGAGGAATCTGAGGAGGGTACGTTCCGTTCATCATCGTATGGAGAATGTAAATCAGAAGAGGCGGCCAGTCGAGATTTTGACAGATCAGAGGTTGAGTCCAAAGAGATACCTTTGCAACCTGCATATGAAAGGAAACATGGTCCAGTTGGTGGTCCCATCATCCCTGCAGGGGTCTAAAAGAGAAGTATATTATGAGGCTGCAGCCTATTGAAACAATACTGTTGATGTCGCCAACTTGTGTGAATTATGTTGTATGCAAAGGGAGAACTGAATATTTTTTTCCCAGGATTGATTCTTCTGTAAATTGCATGATGGATTATTGAATTTGTGAAAAGGTTTTATTGCCCTTTTTCTTAAGAAAATGTTTGGTTGCAGAACCGCAATATTTTTTTATTTTATATATAATATGCAATTTGTTCATATGGTTCAAATTATTCCGATAATAGAAAAAGGGTAGATGCCAATGTTTTCCCGCTAGTATCAAAGTGAGACACAGCCACTACCTCTTTTGTTTGCCCATTACTCCGCACACACAACACACAGACACGGCGGGTCACCACTAAACTTAGAAAGTGCTTCACCAGGTATTATAGGTGTGGTCAGAGACGAGCCCTCTTATCTTTCCCCTCTTGTATTCAACATGTAATATCTCGATATTTTATCAGTATAAATTATGTTTTAATTCCGATATAATAACGTTATCAATTATTATTTTTGGAATTAATTATTATCAATCGAGATTACCGAAAATTATTTTCGACGTACCGTTTACGTCCAGAATAATTTTGGTAATTAAGTATTATGCTTAAATATTTATTAAGCATAATTAAGTGAATTATTAAGCATTAAATTCATGGTAATTTGGATTAACCGTATGGAATACTCCAAATACAAGCAAAAGCCGTACGCATACTTGTATAGTGGTTCCAAATTTTTATAAACCTTTCCTAAGCCTTAAGGAAATAATTTCCTTCCACTTCTTTTAAGTCCACACGTGTCCAATTAGGAGGATTGTTGATGAGGATTAGTCATCCCAAAACATCTCATTTGGGAGCAAATGTTAAGCTAGCAAGAAGCCACGTTAAGCCCTAATCATCACCCCAAACTATAGTCTCCATTTGGTCTTCTTTATAAAGTGAGAGTTGGAGAAAATTTGACCCAATTTGCAGCCTATTATGCGTACTATATTAGTCATTAAACTCAGCCATAAAGACCAGCAAAATTCCCTTAATTTTCCATACCACACGCACGGTTAGTAGCAGTAGAGGTACGGCAAGTAATAGCATCGCACGGCAAGCCGCACACAAGCACCGCACACGGACACGCGAAGCGTCAACGCGACAGCACGATCGATTTGCGAGTTCCGTCGAACACTTGAGGAGGTAAGGCCATCCTTAACTCTTTTTCATGTCAATAAGTTCGGTTTAAGTTGTAGTGTTCGACTCATATTCAAGAGTTCATAGCTATGCCATGTTAAGGTTCGGTTAATGCCTAGTTAGGTTGTGACCGAATAACTTCGTGTTTTACCCGACAACTCATGAACCATTTATGTTTAATTGTTCAGTTAACATCATGTTAAATTCAGTTACTTGATGATGGTCGAGGCAAAATGTTGTTTTATTCGTGAAATGGCTCAAAACCGTCGCCAGCGCACGCCGCGCATGGCTACGGGCCGCCCCAAGTCATGTCATGTTAGTTTCAGTTATAGTCAAGTTCGTCCATGTGAATTATGTCTTGATAGCCTCATGGTAATGTTTCATGTTTAATTGG